ACAAAGCAGCATTTAAAATTATATATGGTTTCAGGAGGGCACAAAAGTTTTAGATATTTGGATTTGACCAAACCCATAAAAGTAAAAGACAGTCAACTTATTATTGGATAGTTTAACTGGTACACATCACCATTTGGAGTGTTTCCTGAAGGCTGACCATTGACCTCCACCTCACACAGTGTCAGATATTCTGGTCTTCCAGGAATCACAATGTTAACATACTGGCCCTCCATTCCATTACACACAAACGTTTTGGAGGTCCCAGCTGGGATAGACTGGATAACAGCGCACCTGAAGAAAAAGAAAATGAAAAAGAATTTTGAGTAAAAGAAAATGAAAACTGCATAAATCTTACTAGTAGTTGTTTTTAGATAATGATAATGCTATTGTGGTGAAAAGAAATACAGGTTTCTCTTCGGAAAATATGTAGATATCCATTGCACTAATTTCTGTAACATACACAACCAGTGTACAAAGTTTCAACCTAATACATGACAGAAAGTGTTGTTACCTGGGATTAGCATTGCCATTGTCATTGAGGGAGTTTCCGATGTGGATCTCGGCACCATTGATTCTTTTGTGGCAACAATCTTTTCTGTTGGTGATGGTGACCGTGTTAATCTTATACGTCTTCAGGAGGTCCAGTCTCCACCATGGCTTTCTTTGTCTACTTGTGTGGGTACAGGATCCTTGTCCATAGATGCTTGCACGGCTTCCATCAATGGCCCTTTCAGGAAGACCATGCCACCCCAAGGACGACTGAGTCACTCTTCCACCTCTAGCAATATTTTGGTCTGTACAAAGCAGCATTTAAAATTATATATGGTTTCAGAAGGGCACAAAAGTTTTAGATATTTGGATCTGACCAAACCCATAAAAGAAAAGGCAGTCAACTTATTATCGGATAGTTTAAATGGTACACATCACCATTTGGAGTGTTTCCTGAAGGCTGACCATTGACCTCCACCTCACACAGTGTCAGATATTCTGGTCTTCCAGGAATCACAATGTTTTGGTCTGTACAAAGTTATGAAATGTCATATTGAAGATAGATTTAGAAAGGCACACATACATTAAATCTAAAATTGGAATTTATTGGGGAAATACATTGAATTTGATTGAACCACTTATGACTATTCACTGAAAGTTGGTGATTTGAATCATCATCTCAGTTGAATAAGATTGCTTCAAGTTGAGCAACCTTTTTTTCTGCTAGTAAGTGTGTTGTACAGTACTCTTGGGGACACTCTGGTCCCCAGATTTTGCTGTGGAGTGAGAACTCCTGGTACAGAGAGCTACAGTCGCAGCAGCCTGGAGGAGGAGAGACTCTGCACTGTAACGGTCTGACATAACTTTATCTTCTTTTTTCTGCTTGGAAATTTATAGCTCACACCACACCAGCTTAATACAACACAGTCTCTGGCTTTTGTTTAATAGCTAGTGTTGGCAAAAAATGTTGTTGCACATTTCAGGTCCATTTCAGGTCCATTCTGGTAACAAGGACTACATTGGTATCCCAAAAAATAAAAGGGAAGCCTTCAAAACTGCCATAACTAATTTGAATTGGGATACTATTCTAGAAGACAAGGATGTGGAAATAATCAGTCAGTCTCTCATGGAGAACATACAAAGCAAAATCAGTGAATTCTCAGTTAGAATTAAACACAAAAGCAAGAAGAAGTCTCTTCCATGGGTGAATGACGACATCATAAAACTCATGAAGGCTAGAGACAACGCCTTAAAAACAGCCACAAAAACCAAATTGAGCCATGAGAGACAGAAATTTACCATGCTGAGGAACAGAGTGTCGAGGCAACTGAAAAAAGCTAAGGCAGATTTCTTCATCACCATCATCGAAAACTGTCATGGTAACTCGAAAAGTATATGGACACAGATCAATAAATTAACTGGTCAAAAGCCAACCTCAATGAAACAAATTGTATTAAAGGTTAATGGTTCAACTCTGCAAAATCCAATCGAGGTGGCACAGACGCTTAACCAATACTTCATCGAGTCGGTTGCCAAGATAGCTCAGAGTTTCCCAGCCATAGTTAGCAATGTATGTTCATCCAGTACCGTTGCTGTTGGTATAAAGGAGTCTATGTTCAATTTAAAGCATGTATCAGGATCAGAAGTTACAAATGTGATCTCATCGCTCAAAGCCTCCAGAGCTAGGGATTTGTATGGGTTGGACACTTCCTTACTGAAAGAAATCAGCCCCTCAATAACAGGTTCATTAACACACATTATCAACACCTCACTGAGTCAGGGAAGATTCCCAGAATCATGGAAATCTGCTGCTGTTGTTCCTGTTTTTAAAGGTGGAGATCCTTCCCTTACATTTAACTATAAGCCAATCAGTATTTTACCCATTGTATCAAAAATATTTGAAAAATTGGTTGCAAAGCAAATTACTCACCACCTCAACAACAGTTCTTTTACACTGCATCCAATGAAATTTGGGTTTAGGACAAACCACCCTACAGAAACTGCCACATGCTACTTTATTGAAAAAATCAAGTCATTAATGGAGCGGAGGGGGGCAGTGTTGTTTTTCTTGACCTGCGGAAAGCATTTGATACTGTAAACCATGCTATACTATTAAACAAACTCTTGACTTTTAATTTTTCCACTGAATGTCTTAACCTGATTAAATCGTACTTATCGTCTCGATCTCAGCTTGTCAGAATTGAAAATAGTAGCTCCAACTTCCTGCAGTTATCAACTGGCGTTCCGCAGGGCTCCGTGTTAGGTCCACTCCTGTTCAGCATGTACATTAATGATCTCCCTTCTATGTGTGATTCGTGTGACATCCTAATGTACGCTGATGACACGGTCATCCTTGGTCATGGGGAGACGATGGGGGACGTTGCATCCAAGTTGACTGATGCTATGGTAAGAATAACATCCTGGCTGAACCAATGCTTCTACAACTAAATCTCTCAAAAACTGTTTGTATGCTTTTCTCCAAAAATAACAAAACAAACATAGAACCAGACATTTTTATCACTGGTGAGAGGCTACAAGTTGTCACCGAACACAAATATTTAGGAGTACACATTGACTCAACTCTCAGCTTCAAAACACACATAAAGAAAGTCAGTAATAAAATAAAGTTCAGTTTATCAAACTTCAAGTCCATCAGAGACTCCCTGTCAACCGAAGCAGCCAAAGTATACTTTTTTTCTATGATCATTTCGCACATCACCTACTGTCTGATAAGCTGGTCTAATGCTCATTCCACTACTCTAAAACCTTTGGAATCACTTTACAAACAAGCACTTAAAACACTAGACAAGAAAACCCTTTAGACATCACCATTGCCATATCCTGAAAAAGTATAAACTTTTGAGCTGGGACAACCTAATTACATACAAAAACATCTGTCAGGTATACAAGATCATGCAGGGCTCAGCTCCTCCTCCACTATCCAGTTTTATTAAATTCAAATCCTCTGCTATTAGAACTACGCGAGGTGCGACAAAAAACGATTGCATAATCCCGTTAAGGAACACCACTTTCAGCCAGGCTGTATTCTCATTCAAAGCATCACATCAATGGAACACATTGCCACAATCGATCAGAGAATCTCCATCATATCACTCATTCCAAGCAAATGTTAAGAACTGGCTTGTAGACACCCAAAGATGTGAGCACTGATGTTGATATTGTTGTCCGATGTGAATTGTTGTCCAAATGTGTATTATTAACGTGGACACACATCACCTTGTTGTAGTCCAAATGTGTATTTATTATGTATGTATTTACGGACAGTAGTATGTGCTCTGTTATCAGAGCATTGACAGTAGTAATATTTTATCCCATTGTTGTTCTTTTTAAAGGTTGCCTTGTACAAACTGGCAAAGGGACAATCGATGAAAACTAGCTTTTTAAGCTAATTCGAGTGCATTTACATGTGTGTTTTTTTTGTACACAATGTTTATTAATGTGCATTGTCCCTTTCAAATAAACTAAACTAATTTTCAGCTTAGTTAGCTTGTCAACTAACTAACTAATTCTGAGTCGAAACCAGTTAAAAGTATAATCTCACCAGAATGGCCACTTGTCTGTCCTAGAACCACCAACAAGACAAAGACCACAGCTGGAGTCATCATCCTGTGGAGCAAGTTAAAACTCATATAATGTTATTAAAGCTTGATGATCTTTAAATACCTATGCAAATACTTTTACACATACATACAAATGTAAAACACACATCAATTTAAGGAAAAGATTTTGATTTATTTGAAGATCAGGAGGGAGGCCACGCCTGAACTCCACCTACACTGGACAATTTCCATCTTTATACAAACATGCCCAAATCAAACTGGTTCTGTATACATAGCTGTGTTTAGATTATACTAGAAGTGTGTATAGCTTACACTTGAAGATGTTAAATTTTTTTTGTCAGCTATATTTTCTGAACGAAAATGTTTTACGTTGCCAAGAATAATCTTCATACAAATATCTATATGTTGAGCTGCCAACACATTTAGGTAATATTTTAACCAGTCCCACAAATTAATCAAATAATACAGCATAATTTGTATTTGACATTTAATAGACCAGGAGGTTAGTGGAAGAACATAAATGATTTTATTTGAAAACTGGATGGGAGGAGGCCCAGGTTGATTTTAAAATTGGTTTGAATTGTCTATAAACTGAAAAATTCTCCATTGAGCCCAGGTACAGTTTTTAAAGGAGACTGTGCATGAAATTTGAGAAAATTCAGGTGAAAATATTCATTTCTTATAGAACTGAAAAAAATATATATATATATATATTTTAAAAGCCCTGTTGATCAATTTTCATGCACTTTTAAGACAGTCAGTATCTTCAGCTTCTCAGTTTACTGTCTTCTGTCAAGTTAGGCACGGTGCCAGACTACACCAGATAGGATGTATGAGGTAAAAAATCACACCTGTGGAACATCAGTCTTCTATTGAACACCTAATCTGGTGAAAAATGATCAGATGCTCAAATGCTGATGTTTCAGATTGACTGACTTATGACTCTGAAAAATAAACAGTGTTACATTTGTAGCAAACTTTGTCCAAAAGGGAACTGGAAGTGGTGGTAGAGCAGGAACATTACTGCAAAAAATTTGACAGTTTTTCACATCTGTTCAGAGCACATCATCTGTGCATATTTGTGTAATGCATTTGGTGAGTCAGTGCCAAATGGTCATCCCTACCACCCTCCGTCTTAATTCTCTATGATTAATAAGTTAATGTTTGTCTATATATGCAGTTTTCAATAGTTGGTAGTTGGTTCCACAATGCATAGAGTTAAATTAAACATAGGTATAGGCTACTCTACATAGGAATGTAAACAAAATGATGCAGGGTGTTGTTCACTTTTTGTCTCCTGCTGATAGTTAATGTTGGTTTCTTGTTTGATTGTTTGTTAGGCTTTTGCAATACATGTTTTAAAAATAGTCAAATCTATGGAGAGCAATCCCCCTCCTTATCTCTTTGTTTGCCCTCTATAGTAATATCACTCCCACTCAGAACAGTTCTGAACAAAACATTTAACTGACACATCTTTAGATCAAACTCACCCCAGCAGGATCTCTGTCAGGATTTAGACATAAAGGTCCCAAATATGAATAAACCAACAGGGAAAAAGGGACATGACCATGAGAACAAAGAAAAAGTAATGACATTGTGAATTAGAAAAAAACAAAAAAAACATTAGTAAAATGAACATTAACATTAACATAACGTGTTTACTAGTATAATTTAGTCACATTATATTTATATAATTGTTATTTTAACAATTGATATTGAACTTCTAAACTTTTAGTCTTCTGGAAGCTTGAATATTAAGTATCATTTCACAAAACTCCTTGCCCTAGCTCTGTTGCATATTCAGACCTTCAGAACTTGCACGTAATTATTTTCACACACTTTTGATTATAATCTTGTCATAACCAAGCTGTAGCATAAAAATATTTCTGATTTAGATCAATTTTTCAATTCACAAAATTACATGTGCAAAATATATTTAATCAATAATTCTACCAGAGACCTACCTGGAAACTCTCTCGCGCCGTGAAAGCAGCTGTGATCTCCATGTGTGCATAGAGAGAAATCATTTTTATACTTTCGTACAAAGCATGATTGACAACTGCTGGATTAATAAACACCCTGATCAAATAATGTGTTGTTTTTGTATCCCATTCAGAGGTCAATGTGACTGTCTGAGTCACTTGATGTCTCAGAGGGCACGCCCTGTGCTTGCTCAAATAAAGTTTGTGGAAAGTGGTAGAGGCAGTGTACAGCTACATGTAATAATAATAATAATAATAATAATAATATAATGATAAACTTTGTTTATATAGCACTTCTCTTAATAATGTTACAAAGTGCTTAACAAGAAGAGACAAAACCAAATAAGGTACATGGCAAGTGACTGAAAAGACAGATACACAAGAAGCAAAAAACAGTTAAAATGAATAAATACAAACAAAACAAATTAAAACAGTATAAAATAAAAGCAGCCAAACATTCCCAAAAGCATTTACAAAGAGAAAGGTTTTAAGAAATTTACGAAATTTAAAAGAAGCAAGGGACTTAGTGTGCTGTCCCTTAGTTTAATAGGCAGAGCATTCCAGCGTGGGGGCTCTAACAGCACAAGCACGATCTCCCTTTGTCAAAAACTGTGACCTGGGAGTGGTCAAGAGGGCACATACTGTGTCAATAAGTCTGTAATATATTTCAGAGTCCATTTAAGGCCTTAAAAGTGAGTAATACAATTTTAAAATCAATCGGAGAACTAACAGGGAGCCAATGTAGGGAGGTAAGCACAGGGGTGATGTGCTCATGCCCCTTTGTCCCAGTAACGAGTCGGGCAGCAGCATTTTGGACCAACTAGAGACGATGGAGGGAGCTCTGATTAATACCTGAGTAAAGTGCATTGCAGTAATCAAGTTGTGAATAAATAAAAGCATAAACAACTGTTTTTCGGTCCGTGAGTGATAAAAATGACCTAATTTTCGCAATCATCTTGAGCTGAAAGAAACAAGACTGAACAATAGAGTTTAGAATCAAAAATCACACCTAGATTCCTAGCAGCCTGCTTAATATTCTTTGACAGCTCTCCCAAATTAGCACCAGCGGAGCTGATGGAATTTGGGGGACCGAACAAAATAACTTCTGATTTCTCAGCGGCTTTTGGGACATCCAGGATTTAATGTCAGAGAGGCAAAATGAGAGATTAGATAGGCTGCTAGAAACTGTGGTTTTTTAACAGCATGTACAACTAAATACCATCTGCACAGAAATGGTAAAGCATATCATGAGTCTGGATAACCTGGCCAAGCATGTATATGGAAAACAGAAGAGGGCCAAGGACAGAGCCTTGAGGGACCCCACACCTCAACTGGGCTGAGGAAGAAGAAACATTACCCAGGGCAACAAATAGTGGGTGAATAATGGCATGCTTAAAGCTGTCAGGGAATGAGCCAGAAACCAAGGAATTGTTGAAAATTTGTAAAATAACAGGGCAGACAGTAGAAAATACCTCTTTGAGGAGCTTAGTTGGGATGGCATCAAGGGTACTGGAGGAGGAGTTCATGTGGGAGACTGCATACACTAGCTCAGAGGTTGTAACAGGTTGAAACTGAGTGAAAGAGGCTGAACTGACATGAGGAACAGAAATAGAGCAAGGGTCAGGCTGGATTTGAGACCTGATGTTCTCCACTTTATTTACAAAATGGGAAAGAAATTTCCCAGGCAGCTCACATCAGGCTCAGAAAAAGAAGCACCAGTAACAAAAGAATTAATAACCTTAAAGAGGATTTTAGGATTATGGTTGTTACTTGAGATTAGATCAGAGAAATAGGCAGCTCTGGCATCTTTAACAGCTTCCTGATAACTGAAAATGTGATTTTTAAGGGTTGTATGTGTTATTTCTGACGTATTGGCCTTCCATTGTCAATCAGACTTGCTACACAGAGTCTTTTAAGGGCTCGAAGGTGGTCACTCAGCCAGGGGATATTATTTGATTTTAGTTTCCTGGATTTAAATGGGGCAATTTGGTCAAGGATGGCTAGGCACTGATCACTGAATAACTTTAGCAATGCATTGGTGTTGCAGAACCAGAGTTAAAAATGCCAGAGCAAGTTGTAGAGCAGGGAGTGGAAATGGAGAGCTTTAGCAGGACTTTAAAAACAACAGCTTAATGATCAGTAACAGGCAAGTCCACCAAATTAAGACAGTTGAGTGAGAACCCAGATGAGAGTATCAGGTCTAAAGTATGATGAATGTGTGGCTCCTCTGACAGATTGCACAAGGTTAAAAGACTCTAAAAAGATCTAAAAAGCTGGAGGTGAGGGAATGGGAGGGATAGCATACATTGATATTAAAATCGGGGTTCTATGTTTCCTGGGTTCTATGTTCCCCACTTAACCCTGCAAAAAAGCTTCGATGTTCCCCGCTTGCACATTGCGGGAGCGTACCTATGTTTCCCGGGTTCTATGTTCCCCGGGTCCTATGTTCCCCGCTTTGTATGGGACCCCAAAAGGGTCCTATGTTCCCTGCTTTGTATGGGACTGGGGAACATAGGACCCTTTTTAATAATAAGGGTTCTATGTTCCCCGCTTTTCCCCAAAAGGACCTGGGAAACATAGGCCCTTTTTTTTTAAACAAAAGGGTCTTATGTTCCCCGATCCCAAAGCCTACAAAGCTTTTGGGGTCTGTTATTTTTAAAATTTTATTCATAATATTTATTTATTTATCCATCCTGGAGAAGGGGAGAAACATGACCCACAGATAACCAGTATTGTGTGTAACTCGTTACAAAGTAACACGTTACAGTAACGTAACTACTTTTATTGGGTAAAAAGTAGTGTAACGCGTTACTACTGAAAATATGGTAACGGAACATAGTTACTTTGTCAGTTGGGCACAACGTTACTTTTCCCGGGGACAGATTTGACGGTGACACTGCCTGTCTGCCTCAGCTGCGCACTAGGCAGGAACTGTGACAGTTGCCATGTCAACAGTACAGACAGGAGCGCCAAAATCAAGAATCGTATGAGGAATATGGAAGATACACACGCCTCCTCGGATTATTTTAACGGTTTGTCAACCGAAGACAGGTTAGCTTATTGTAATAAGCTAACAATTAGCAACGGAGTGAGGTTTCCTGACCCGTACTTAATGTCGGGTCAGTGGGTCACCGACCCAACGAAATGGCCTAAGCTACAGTGGCCGGACATTTTTTTATATCTTGTGGAGAAACCCAGCGTTTATACGCATGAAAAACTCAAGGCATATAAATCCCTTGATGTGTATAATTTTGTACTTTGCGGTCATGTCCAAGATATTGAATACCGGGATTTATCTGATGGTTTTTGTGCTCTACGGACCGAAGTACTGCCGAGCCAGCGACAAGGACACAAAACAGTAACGTTAACTAATGTACAAGACCTGGGCGATTCTGAACAAGTCGACCAACTATATACTGACAGCGAACTGCACTTGTATGGCTGGGTAAGTGTTGTTTAATGTAACGTTAACCTCGCTAGTCAGACCTCAGACATGGGCAACATACGACCCCGGAACCTCAAAGGAAATCAAAACGACCCCCAAAACATCAATAAAATGCAGCATTGTGTTAACAGAAAACAGAACAATCATAACCTGCCTACCTTCCTGGCGCTGTGTGAACGGCAGCCTGTTGCAGCAGCTCCTAGTTTGTGTATTTTAAATTGCTGCTGTGACATTGAAATTTCCCCCCGAGGGGTTAATAAAGTACCTACCATACCATACCAGAAGAGAAAATGAATTAATTTATTCGTGCAGGTCTGTAGCTTACTGCAAAGTATTAGTCTGTTACACAAACACAGTCTCACAGTTACACACGTAATAACAGAACAGAAAATGATTTATTCATGAATATGACACTATTTGTTCAAAGATAGTGTCTGTGAATATTAATATTTTCCTCATTCAGTGATGCAGCAGGTCTGGCAAATAGGCTATTAGTAGTAGTAATCTGTCATGTAACAAATTCATGTAGCCTAGTTAACACAAATTAACTCTCACTCTTTAATCTTTATTTTATCACCAAAGTGGTAAATACCAGTGGGAAACTTTCACGTTTAGGAAATGAGATGGGGTTCTACCCAAAATCAAGCACCGTAAAAGTAACGTTAAAGTAACGAGTAACGTAAAAAGTTACTTTTCACAGAGGGTAACTAAGTAAAGTAAGGGATAACTTTTTTTAAGAAGTAACGAGTAACGAGCAAACACTACTTTTTAAAAGTAACTTCCCCAACACTGCAGATAACTTCTTCACTTCTGTATAGCTCGCCACCACCTTTCAGGCAAAAAAGACCAGCCTGGTCAGCACACTGGGGAAAATGAAGCGGGAGCTGCCACCGGGAGCTGCCACCGGGTGCAGCCACCCTCCGCTAAAGAGTCAGCAGAGCTGTTCAGCACAAAAGTGCTGAAATCCAGTGATGTGACTCTTACCGTTTACCAGTGTAAGCCCAGCAAGAATGTGTGCATTCTGAGCTCCGTGCACACAGGTGTGGGCGTCACCGATGGGAAGAAGGCAAAGCCAGAGTCTTGCTGGTAACGCGTTGTCTGTTTACACCATTCCGACATGCCAATGTCCCACCATTCATGTTTGTCTCATGGTGGAGCCTACACAGAGGTATACAGACAGGTGGAGCAGGCAGCAAATTGATATGAATCTGGTTCAGGACGTCTTCGTCCATTTGTGGATAAATATGGAGTGGAAATTAGTTCGTACATTAACAGAGAGTTATAAAACAGACACACGGCTTTACAAATATGCCGAAAATAGTGTATACATATTTCTGGCTTTGTGTGTGCCTGACAGTTTTATCATATCAATGACTCTACCTGGGAACATAGAACCTGGGGAATATAGGGATGACCCCTTAAAAATCACAAGAGACTCGACTCCACCCTGTTGGAACCGCCCACCTCCTGAGGTGATATAAACCCGCCTCGAACCTCAGCCCTTCCTTTTCTCTCCTTCCCTCCAAAACCACCAGACAAAGAAAGCCACCTGAAGTACCCTC